ATATTCTGGGAACGCCTCAGTGTGTGTCTGGAATAGCCTTGAGACCGGAAGTTGGGGAGATGTCATGTGAAGCAAAGGCCTGGGGAACAGCATTCCATTTGAAAATTAGGACTCTAAAATCAAACCCAGATCTAAACCTCCTCGGAGTAGTTAAGCTGGACCACCATACAAGTGATTGGGGCAGATTACTGGACTGTAAACAATTATGTCTGGGTATCACCCATGACATGACAGAAGTCACGAGTAGACAAGAGCTGTCACAGCTAATTAGAAGATGTTTGAGAGACTTTGACTATGAGAGCACGTCGATTAGAGCCTGCAGACTGTGCTCAACATTTACAGTAGGCATTCACAGGGGTCATTTCATAGAAAAAGAGGTGCAGAGCTCATTAGCAGAACTCATTAGCATAACTTATTTGCATATGCCACACCCACTCATGTCACCGGATGTGTGTCAGAAGGCAACACCCACTGTTCAGGCTCCACTGGACTGTTTTGGATTGCTAGCTATTGGGGGGGGGGAACATGCAGATTTGTCCTCGAAAAGGAGGGAGAGCTTGTACCTGAATAAAACTTGGTCTTAAAGGTGCCACTGGACTGTTTTGGGCTGGGGGGATGGGGGTTCTCTGCAACTTACCTGGTTGCTTCTTAATCTGACTGAGGGCTGCTGAGAGCAGTGGGTGGGGCTTGTTGCATGTGCCCCCCCCCCGGGCTCTTTACTGCCTGAGCTCCGCTCCTGTGCACTCCTGCAGGAAATGACTCCTGGGCATTCAGCCTCCAACAACAATGTCAAACTACTTTTCTGAGATAATTCTTCCAAAGTACAGAAGGGCATTCATGCTAGCGCGTCTGAATGCCCCACCTTCAGTTTTGATGTCAGGAAGATTTAATGGGATTTCATAGATAGACTCTAATTGCGGCAGCAGGAAAATTGACTCTGTGGATCATATCTTGCTTGCTTGTCCTAAATTTTCAGTTCTAGGAGATGAACTGATCTCCCCTTTATTGAATCAGGACTTCCTCTCTCCAGAAGCAAAATCATCCTGGTTACTTAGAGATAAACAAACTACTCTGTGTGTGGCAAAATGTCTTGCAGCTGTTGTCCAATCACATGACAACTTTTGCAGTAGCAGCCTTTAAATTCTTTAATTTTTCAAATTCTTGTTTGCCTGTGGGGTGAGGTTTATTGTGGGATGAGGGTTATTCCTGAGTAGGTGTGTATAAGTCAGAAATGATCATTGTGATTCCATATGAGGAAATCGTGAACGGCATGATTGCCATTTTAGGACAACGTTGGATATATTGCTGTCATTCTGGAAAGTTGTCCTAGAAACATTCGGACAGTTTCTGGAACAACACTCCTGATATTTAAACGAAGCATGTCCTTCCCCATCCTCATGTGGAATTAAAAGGGGGAAGGGAGGGGGAAAAGGAGGAGCCCCTGTACTTATCAGCTGTGTGGTAGTGCCTTGACTTGAGAGCCAGTTTGGTGTAGTGGTTAAATGTGCGGACTCTAATCTGGGAGAACCGGGTTTGATTCCCCACTCCTCCACTTGCACCTGGCTGGATGACCCTGGGCAAGCCATAGCTCTGATAAGAGCTGTTCTTGAAAAAGAGCAGTTTCTGTCAGAGCTCTCTCAGCCCCACCTACCTCACAGGGTGCCTGTTGTGGGGAGGGGAAGGGAAAAGAGTTTGTAAGCTGCTCTGAGACTCCTTTGGGTAGTGAAGGGTGGGGTATAAATCTAAACTCTTCTTCTTCTTGACTGACCCTTTAAAAGGTAATAGCTGGTGACCAGTAGACACGGCTTCTGGAGGACTGCCCCAGAGGAGTCCCAAAGCCTCATGGGAATCTGGAAGAGCTCACCCTGGCCCTTGACACTGGGAGAATGCCAGACAGGCTGTTAGGTGGCTCCCTTCTACATCCCACAATGTTTAGAGATTCCCATGGGACAGTCAAACCCTGGAGTTTCCAGGTCCTTCCTGGCCACTGGTGGGGGATGGGGGGTAGGGTTGCCAGATCCAGGTTGGGAAACTCCTGGAGATTTGGGGATGGAGCCTGGGGAGGACAGGGACCCCAGCGGGGTACATTTCCATACAGTCCACCCTCAAAAGCATCCATTTTTCTAGGGGAATTGATCTCTGTAGCCTGGAGATAAGTTGTAATTCCAAGGGATCCCCAGTTCCCACCTGAAGGCTGGCATCTCTACATGTGGGAGTTATGAAATGTCTGCTTCTCAGCCCAGCAGCCCACCTGACATTCTTCTAATTTCTGGGTCTTGTAATGTATTCATTCCCGACTGTGTGCGAGACTAAGTCTCCACGCGGTCATGCGAAACTCCCGAGCTTCGCTTCCAGAGACAATGGGTCAAGTGGATCCCAGCCCGCACCAATCTGAGGGCTAGGCTTTCCGGGCAAGAGCCTATGGAACTCTCCACCACTGTAAATAGCCTATACGGGACGGGGGGTGTTTGATGTGTGGGTTTTGTTGCAAATATAAGCCTGTGAGCCGACAACCTTGTCTTGTTCTTCACCTAATAAAGTATGAGAGCTGAATTGACTAGTAGGTCTCAGTACTTTTCAAGCCTGAACGGCAATGGCAACTTACAGGCCCAGAGGAGAGGCCTGGAATGTAACTGCAGCCCCCTGGAGCCACCAGTGACCCAGCAGGTTTGGGGCCAGGTTTGTGTATAGGGGCTGCTGTCTCTCTGACAGGACTTCTAATTCCAATGGTCTCGGAAGTGATAACAATGGATTTGGGAGTTGTGTTGGGAAGAGAGTGGTGTTTAATTACAAACTTGATACCTTGCCTTTCTGCCCTATAAGATATTTACCAACTGATGCAATACCTTAAATACTGTGCATCTTATGAACATAAGAGAAGCCCATGTTGGATCAGGCCAATGGCCCATCCAGTCCAACACCCTGTGTCACACAGTGGCCAAAAATACCAGGTGACATCAGGAGGTCCAGCAGTGGGGCCAGGACACTAGAAGCCCTCCCACTGTTGCCCCCCTCCCAAGCACCAAGAATACAGAGCATCCCTTGCCCCAGACCGAGAGTTCCTATCTATATCTTGTGGCTAATAGCCACTGATGGACTTCTGCTCCATATGCTTATCTAATTCCCTCTTGAAACCGTCCATGTTTGTAGCCACCACCACCTCCTGTGGCAGTGAATCCCATGTGTTAATCACTCTTTGGGTGAAGAAGGACTTCCTTTTATCTGTTCTAACCTGCTCAGCAATTTCATGGAGTGCCCACGGTGTTCTTGTATTGTGAGAAAGGGAGAAAAGTACTTCTTTCTCAACCTGCTCTAACCTGTGCATAACCTTATTGGCCCTGCGATATTTGACTGAGCACCCCTGTTCCTGAGAAATGTGTGAATGTAGATTTTGTGTGCCTTTCTTATACTTTTGTAATTGTGGAATACCATGTTAAACATTTATCCCTACCTTCCTTCCACATGGACAAAGTCCAGAATAAATGAAGCATTGTGAACTAACCAACAGTATGTGACTTGTACAGTTTTATTATTTGCAATGGATGCCTAATATGCTTGATCTTGTATTGTGAGTAATAAGCTGACGTAAGACTTTGTTTGTTTGTTTGTGGTTTGCTTTTCTCTCTGGGATGCAAGGTGGATTACACAGAAGAAGTCAATACCATCAACATGGCAGAACATCTGTGCCAATGCAGGAGGATTAGATTCGTTGAAATCTGGAAACCAACTGGAGGTGAATTGCAGCATAACCATGAACAATACAGGTGAAATGAAAGTGAAAATCACATCATTTGAACCTGATATTAAGGGCTATTTTTGGGCAGGAACGCACAGGAACCGAGTTCCCCCTGGCTTCCACGTTGGCCACGCCTAACAGAAACTCATTAGCATAATAGGCCACACCCAATAGCAGAAACTCATTAGGATTGGCTACATTATGGATGTGTGGCCTAACATGCAAAGGAGTTCCTGCTACAAAAAAGCCCTGGGTTTTGACAACAAAGGAGGTAAGCAGAATAAGAAGCAAAAGGTGGGTGTGGCTGGATGAGCACACTTCTGGTAACATGGGAGTTAGCCTAATATGCCAATGAGCTGTGCTGTCGTGGGTGTGGCCTAATATGCTAATGAGTTTGTTGTTGGGTGTGGCCTATTATGCTAATGAGTTCCTGCTGGGCTTTATCTACAAAAAGAGCCCTGCTGCTATTAATTGACGGTGTTCATATGTATTTCAAATTATCAGTGGGAGGGTTGTAGCAGTGTGCCTTGCTTGGATACCCTTGTTCTACTGCCAGCCATCTTATTTGCTGTGCGATAAAATGATTCATTTTATAAAGAAAGATCTTGAGTTAAATATTTTAATGCAGAATGTACTTTAATGGAAACAAGCAAGAGGAGTGAAAGTGTACGTTTCAACGCAGATATATGTGGCAAGGATATTTCAGAACATGGCTTGCCGCGTTGGATCAGATCAAAAGTTTCTCTCGCCCAGCGCTCTGCCTTCTCCAGTGGGCAGCCATGTTCCTCAGAGAAGCCCACAAGCAGGGTGTGTAGAGGAGCCACCCCCTGTTGTTTCCCCCTCGGCATCTAATAATCAGAGGCAGTCTACCTCTGAACATAGAGGTACCATCCTTAGTTCTTACTAACCCCAAACAGAGGACTAGTCTATGTGTTGGCTGACCAGGTGGGGATGGAGAGTAGGGTGCGCGCAGACACTGCCCCCACTTCGGTGTGATCTCTGAGTGGTGGAAATGATGTTCGTTTGTGAAGGATGTGTTTGCGCATGCACTCATGTACACGCACTCATGTCTGCTGCCCCTTCCTGCATGGTCAGTCAATGCACAGATGGGTCTGTACAGGTTAATCGCTCTTTGTAGACCTACCCTCCACGGATTGGTCTAAAGCATCAAAAAGCCATCCAAGCTAATGGCTCTCCCTATGTTATGATAGTGAACTCCCCCTCCCTCCCTCCCTCCCTCCCTCCCTCTTCCTTCCTTCCTTCCTTCCTTCCGTCTGCCAGAAAGGGGCTTAAACAGCTGCCTTAAACTTGTGATATTGTCACTACACCATTGATTTCAAGGGATGTTGTGAATGATAATTAAGCTTTCCTTCTGGGAAATGTGTCTTCCATTACTAATTTTCCCTTGGGGAAAGTTATTTAGAAAAGTTATATTCCACTGCTCCAGACAAGTGTTTTATGCAGCTCACAAAATCATAATAGAAGTGTCACAAGTTATCAAGAAAACCTCTTAATTTATTAAGATACTATTTTTAGTAAAGCCCCCGGTATACTACTCAAATTCTTGCTTCCGAAAAGCACACCGGGGTTCCTCAAAACACAGTCTGACAACTGCTGGTAAATTGTTTTCTCTTTCACCCAACTGTTTTGCTTTTTTGATAGGTTGTTCGTCTAGAAATGTGTGGAATAAATGCTTGATTTTTCTAGGGCGTTAGGGAATAGGAATGAACATTTATGTTTTAGAGGGAAACTTTGGATATACTTGAAGGACTTGTAGAAAGTGTTCCTAGATCAATGGTATGAAGACCAAACTCAGTGTGATGCAGAAAGACATGGAATGTCTCCCGAGAGCTATTTTAAAATATATATATATTTTAATTCAGCCATCAGGAGGAATGATACATCCTCATGCATTAGAAAGCAGCTGGTTTGGGTCTGCAGAGTGTGAGCATCTTGGTCCCACATCACAGTTTTAGTGTCCCCTGCAGCTTTGGCTGGATGAACATTGTCAGGAGAACCTCTATCTCCTACATCACCCCTGAGTTTTAGAGGTCAGGAGAGCTCCCCAAAACAACAAACTCAAATGAAGATTATGGAAACATAGTATATTTGAAAGCCATGGCCAGTGTTTGCAGATCGTCTGTGCCTCGTTGTTCCATCATCATCCACGGTCTCTGTTCCAGTGATGCTTTTATCCAGGTTACTGCGGACGTCGGTGGCGGAAGCTAGTACTCCGACTGCCAATGGGATAACGACAGTTGTGACCACTGCTACCATAGCAGGGGGAGCCACAGCTGTGGCGAGAAAGGCTATAGCCGGAGCGATATCCAGTGTGCCGGCAAGAAGGAGTAGGATATGGGTTGTAGGAACCATAACGGTACCCACTCGGACGACAACTGTGTGCGCCTCTGACATAGCCACAGCCATAGCAGCGAGGGGTGCATGTTGCCCGGAGTCTGTAGGAAATCATCTCGGCAGAAGAAAAGTGAGTCTGCAACAACGCAAGAGAAAGCAAAATCAGAAGAATAGGGTGGAGATAATTTTTTACATGCTGGCTAGCGTAACGTGACAATCACCTTTCATGAAAGAAAGGCGGGCAAAAAGTATTGTGAATGAATGAATCAATCAATCAATAACAGAACTGTACCAATTTTCTTGCACTCACTTTCTCATTGAGGCCTTTTCTGCATTCTCCTCTTAATGCATGTTCACAGTGGTGTTCTCCAAGCAATTCTGCACTAAATTGAATTCAGCCTTCTTTTAAATCCAGTTCCCCCCCCCCCGTACTAAAATCGAGTTCAACCTTCTTTTTATTCCAGGTTTCCCTCCCCCTTCTGTATTACATTACTTCCTGTCAGTGGTAAACCCGGTTTCAGCCTGCTGTTGTCCCGGATTATTTGGATGCTGTTTTGCCATGGATCAGAAGTCCATCAGTGGCTATTAGGCACAAGGTATAGATAGGAACTCACAGGCTGGGGCAGGTGATGCACTGTATTCTTGGTGCTTGGGGGGGTCAACAGTGGGAGGGCTTCTAGTGTCCTGGCCCCACTGGTGGACCTCCTGATGGCACCTGGTATTTTTGGCCACTGTGTGACACAGAGTGTTGGACTGGATGGGCCATTGGCCTGATCCAACATTGGCTTCTCTTAGGTTCTTATGTTCTTGTATGACTTAAATTGCCTTGACTCAAACACAGAGAAAATCTGGAGTGGCAGGCAAATGGGGAAAGGATCTTAAATTGAAGTCCAGTAGCATCTTTGTGACCATGAAGATTTTCAGGGCATGGGCTTTCAAGAGTCAAGTCTCCCTTCTTCTGGGACATTGAAAGTGCTGTTGGTCTCAAATCCAGCCATTCTACTGCACGCTAACACAGCTACCCTGTGAATTTCTCATGTTCAACATTAGTGATGTGTCAGACAACGAATATATATTACATAAAAGGTAAAGGTAAAGGTTCCCTTGCTCTAAAGCCAGTCAAATCCGACTCTAGGATTGCAGTGCTCATCTCAGTTTCCAAGCCGAAGAGCCAGTGCTGTCCGAAGACATTTCCGTGGTCATGTGGCAGGCATGACTAAACACCAAGGCGCACGGAATGCTGTTACCTTCCCACCGAAGTGGTACCTATTTATCTACTGGCAATTTCTTGCTTTCTAACTGCTAGGTTGGCAGGAGCTGGAACTAGAGACGCCAATGTTGGATCAGGCCAAAGACCCATCCAGTCCAACACTCTGTATCACACAGTGGCCAGAAATACCAGTTCCATCAGGAGGTCCACCAGTGGGGCCAGGACATTAGAAGCCCTCTCACTGTTGACCCCCCAAAGCACCAAGAAGACAGAGCATCACTTGCCCCAGAGCCCCTATCTATACCTTGTGGCTAATAGCCACTGATGGACCTCTGGAATTCTGCCAGAAGACCTCCCCACCCCCACTAGGAGTGTGAGACCCCCACTGGAAGGGTAGACATGGTGCTCAAGAATTCTCAGTTCAAATACAAAGAACAAATAGCAAAAGAAGGAGGTCACTTAAGAGAGAAAATGGCCTATGATCAACTAATTTCGGTGAAATTGCAGGAGACCTAAAACATTTATTAGGGAAAATATATAAAATTCTATATCAATACAAAACAGAAACTCAGCAAGTGAAAGACTGTATGATTAAATGGATGAAAAACGTCTGAGATAATATTTCTATGAGCCAGTGGGAAAACTCATGGACTAAAGAAATCAAATTTACCAAGACTTAATATTAAAGGAGAATTGCTATAAAATGTTTTTAGATGGTATATCACACCCAAAGAAATTGCAAAAACCAATAAGAGTTATAATGGAAAATGCTGGAAATGTCAAAGTAGAGATGCAACATGTTATTATATGTGCTGGACATGTAAGAAATCAAGTCTATATTGGATAAAGATCCATTAAGAGATACAAAAGATACTTAAATTGAAGTTTGCAATGGACCCAAAAATGTTATTAATATTTTACTAAGTAATATTACAAGAACACATAACTATATGGTAACAGTAGCAAGAGTGATATTTGCATCTAAATGGAAGGTGGGAAAATGCCCAGAACTGATGGACTGGAAGAACAAATTAATTGAATATGCAACAATGGCTAAACTAAAATCTTATTTACATGATGGATTGAATTTAGAATTTCAAGAAAAATGGAAACCACTTTTTGACTATATAGTTGAAAATTAAGACTGAATTTTTAAAGTGGAGAATGATTACGAGATAGAATCAGGCAATACATGTTCATAATAATGAAATGTATGATGAAATATGAAGCAATGAAGAAAAGATAGAATATAGATAAAAGAGAAGTGAAACTTTAGAGTATATATAAACAAATCTTATGCAACCAACTAAGTTCTGATTGACAACTGTAATAAATTGATTAGTATGTGGGGAGGGTGGTATATAAACCTAATAAAATACAAATAAAATAAAATATGTAGGAATTAGACATAATAGATAAAGTAGATGACCATAAATAATTGCCTATGCTCATGTCTATTCTTATGTCTATGTTTGTCTATGTATAATTGCAGTAATGCATTGTTTATTCCTTTTTGTTTGTTTTCCCAAGGGCCTCCCCAAATCCAAGTTCTTTGGCAAGCAGGCATGCAAAACTGCCTCAAAGCACCTCCAAACGACACATACCAAAATCTCTGTGTGATTTATCCTGAACCTCTTTCTTCCCTTTTGTTATATTTATTATATGTAGGACATTTTCTCCGCCAACTTTGATATGAAGAGCTCTCACTCCCTTAAATGCTTAAGTCTATCTTCCCTTGGCAGAACATACCTGTGATGTTCCTTCCTGCTGTTTAGGCCTTTTGTGTAAGCCTGCTCAAAGCCTTGAGTCTCAGTTTGAAAGGTAGACGAGGAAAGCTCGGTGAGTGCAGCAAGCAGAGAAGGAGCCCCTAGTTTAAAAAAACCAAAACAATTAGATTCTCTTTTAATATACAAAAGATCCAATCTGAACCCAACATTCAACCAAAGGCTCTTCTAAATCCTAATCATGTCATAATCAAATTTTGTGCTGTCACGTTGTTTCTGACTTAGGGCAACCCTATGACTCAGTGACCTCCAAAATGCCTTGCTCAGGTATGAGAAACTGGAGGCCAAAAAGAAAAAGAAAAAAAAAAGAAATATGGAAACAGGCCAGTAGTTCTTACTGTTTACTAGATAATAACTACTGCCACCATAACAGCAACATGGCGGTTGTAGATGCTCCATTTTGTTCTCTGCTAATGTTGGGACTTGATTTGATATTGGTCTACTGATTTGGTTGTGGTAGAAAATGTCGTCAAGATGCAAGCAACTTATGGCGACCCCGTAAGGTTTTCAAGGCAAGAGATGTTAAGAGGTAGTTTGCCATTGTCTGGCTCTGCAAAATGAGCCTGAACGTCTATGGTGGTCTACCATCCAAATACTAACCAGGGCCAATCATAGAATCATAGAGTTGGAAGGGGCCATATAGACCATCCAGTCCAGGGGTGTCAAACTCACTGGAAATGTGTTATTTAAAGTTTTAAAAAATCTTAAATTGTGTTTGTCTGTGTCTTTCCTAAAGTTTATATCTCCACTACCTGGCATTACCTTTTATGACACACATGGCCTGGCCCAACAAGGTCTCATTTAGATCCAGCCCTCGTAACAAATGAGCTCAACACCCCTGTCCAACTCCCTGCCCAATGCAGGACCAGCCTAAAGCATCTCTGACAAATATTCGTCCAGCCTCTTCTTGAAAGCTGTCACTGAAGAGGAGCTCACCACCTCCCTAGGCGGCTGATTCCACCTTTGAACCACTCTGACTGTGAAAAAGCATTTCCTAATATCCAGCCGATACCTTTCTCCATGTAATTTAAACCCGTTGCTTCAGGTCCTCTCCTCTGCTGCCAATTGGAACAACTCCTTGCCTTCCTCTAAATGGCAGCTTTTCAAATGATGACATTGGGCTAGTCTGGGCCAACCAGACCACAGCCTGCTATTCCACTCTCTGATTTTTTTTGTTGTTTGTGTGATTCTACATTTATTCTTTTTTATTTTATTTATTTTAAAATATTTATTTATCTATTCCCATTTATAGCCCGCCCTTCCCAGAAGCGGGCTTAGGGTGGGCAACAACACTTCATCCATGCAAAACTTATCAGTTAATACAATAACATTAAAATTTCAAACATCATCATACATATTACAATGGCAGTCACAGCTGATAGCTGCGTTTCCACCCAATCAGGGTCCCAAGGTGGTGAATGCAAAAACTTTTCAACATTTGAACAATTTGGGAAATTTGGGAAATTTTGAAAATAAATATTGAATTAAAACCAGAGATTTATTTGTTAAATATAATACCAGGTGACCAACTAACACACCGAGAGCTGTACATCCTGCTACATATCTTAACAATTTCTAGGATTTTGATAGCAAAATACTGGAAGACGGATGGACTACCTGATCAAGAAGAAATAGTGTTTAAATTAATGGAAGCAGCGGAAATGGATAAAATACATGCTCAAGTGCATAGAATTGAAGATAATATTGCAATTAAAATGGCTAAGAGTTAAAAAATGGATAGAAAATAATGTATAGATGACTCCAATTTAAGAAATCGAATGATGTAATGATTTTGTACATATGGATAAAAACCAATAAAGATTTTTTTTAAAAACAAACATTTGAACAATTAAAAACATTTAAACTTATAAAACAACTCAATAAATAATCATCACATAGTTTGTGACTTCTTAAAACTAAACTGTATCATTTAAAATAATTATTATTTCCCATTTCTGAAGATCAAGCATTATCCTTTATTGAATTTCCCCCCCACTTTTTGCTGATCTGATTTATTTACCCTGTTCTGTCGGCCCTACTGGCTTCTATTCATTTATTTATACATTAAAATATTTATATCCGGCCTTTCCTCCTTGTTACTTCTTCCACTCTCCACTTTCAGTTCCTTCCCTGCCAGCTGCAAACCCAAGAGTGGGATTGTGCGGATCTGTTCCACTGATAATGGCTATTCCCCACCCACTCTCCAAACAAGAAGCCTTCCCCTTAGGCAAGAGGTTCTTGCTGTTTAGAATAAATATCTGGGATTCTGACTCGAGACACTCCCGCACTGTGTGTGTCCCTAATGTCTTGGGTTCCCTCACCCCTTTTCCCACATGTGTTTTGTTCCCAAAAGCAAAACACATTGGGGGGGGGGGACCCTGAAGCAACAGGACAAACGAGTGACACAAATGACAGTGCGGAAGTGGCCTTGGAAAGCAACCCAGGTCGAGTTTCCAGTAAAGGACGAGTATGAGGAGGATGCCTTCAGAATTTCAGTCTGAAGGATTTCAAGGGAAATTTAGAGATCAAATACCCAGAAGAAAGCACCAAGGTGCTGTGAAGAGTTTTAAGAAGACCAAAGGAATCTCCCAGGAGGTTGTGCAGGTATTCTGGAGAGGTGGCACATAAATTGTTCTAAATGCATAAAGAAATAAATACCTTTGTGTAACATAAATCCCTCCAACAAATTGGACTTACCTGTACCACGGAGAGCACCAAGCGTAAGGAAGCTTTTGAAAGCTCTCAGGCTTGCTGATCTTTTTATAGAACTTCCTTGGGCACTGGAAGAACATGAGCTACCCTTCTTGCCAAGATACCTAATTAACCAGAAGAGAAAAGTTAGCACCTGCTTATTTGCTTAAAGTGATTTAATTATTTTTTGTCTTATTTTTTTAAAATAATATTGTGTAGGCCGGGCTCGTTATTACAACCTGGCAATCACTTTAATTTTAAAAGATTAAAGGTTCTCTTGTTTTCTGTGTATAATAGACTTAGAATAACATTACCCAGTCAGGTAGCTTACTTCAAGGCATATTTTGACCTTTCTGGCTCAGACACAACATAAGACATTAAGGATATAAGGAGGACATTGCAAGATCAGGTCACAGGCAGTGTTCCCTCTAAGCTGAGTTAGTGTGAGCTATCTCATAGTTATTTAGCCTCCAGCTCACCCATTTTTGCCTCAACTCAGGAAGGAGGGCTCCAGAGCAAACTGATTTATGCAGCAGCCAAATCAGTTGCTCACAATTTGAATGCCGGTAGTACACCAAGTTGAATTTTTGCTCACAAGACTCCACCGCTTAGAGGGAATATTGGTCACAGGTCCACCTAGCATGGCATTCTTTGTCCCATACTGATAGATCAAGATAGGTAGCCATGTTAGTCTGTCTGTAGCAGCAGGAAAGAGTAAGAGTCCAGTAGCACCTTAAAGAGACTAACAAAATCTGTGGCAGGGTATGAGCTTTTTTGTGAGTCACTGCTCCAGAGAACTGAAGAAGTGAGCAGTGACCTACAAAAGCTCATATCCTGCCACAAATTGAGTTAGTCTTTAAGGTGCTACTGGACTCTTACTCTTTCATCCATACTAGCAGCCCATGAAGGCAGAACACCACCATCTCCTGTGCGGTGTTCTCCAGGAGTTGGTATTCAGACTGAGACCGCTCCTGAGCATAAAGGTAGCAGCATCATGCCTACTGATAGACCGATCCTTCCTGCATTTCCCTTTGAAAGGACTGGTGCTGCTCTAACATGGATAGCCCAGGCTAGCTCGATCTCATCAGATCTTGGAAGCTAAGGACAGATGGTCCGGGTTAGTATTTGGATGTGAGACCACCAGGGAAGTGCAGGACCATGACACCGAGGCAGGCAATGGGAAACCATCTCTGAATGTCTCTTGCCTTGAAAATCCTGTGGGGTCACAATAAGAAAGGGAGAGAGAGAGAGAAGCAAGTGTTGAACAGATCAGGTGCAGAGGAGAGCAACGAGTGTGGTCTGGGACCTGGAGACCAAGCCATATGCAGAAAGGCTGAGGGACTTGGGAAGGTTCAGTCTGGAGAAGAGGAGGTGCGGGGGGCATGATAGCTCTCATGAAGTATTGGAAGGGCTGTCACTTTGAGGAGGGCAGGGAGCTGTTCCTGTTGGCAGCAGAGGAGAGGACTCGCAAGAATGAGTTGAAATTAAGGGCAGGAAGGTACCGGCTGGATCTTAGGAAAAACCTTTTTTACAGTACAAGTTGTGCAACAGTGGCATCATCTGCCTAGAGAGGTGGTGAGCTCCCCCTCCCTAGCCGTCTTTAAGCAGCATCTGGACCAACATTTGTCAGGGATGTTCTAGGCTGATCCTGCATTGAGCCAGGGGTTGGACTAGATGGCCTATATGGCCCCTTCCAACTCAGTGATTCGATGATTCCATGACACTATGGACATTACATGACATGGCAAAGTTTCCTCTATCCATTTTCTTCTCAGAATGCATCACTTTTAAAATGTGCATCATGCTCCCCCCAGTAATCCCCCCCATATAACTGCAGGACTGTCATCGGAAGGTTGTTGTTGTTCAGTCGCAAAGTCGAGTCCGACTCTTTGCGACCCCATGGACCAGCTCCCTCCAGGCCCTCCGGTCTTCCGCCATCCTCTGAAGTTTGCTCAACTTCATGTTCGTTGCATCGATGACACTCAAGAGTCTTCGGAAGGTACCACACTGTAAATCACCAGTTGCTAGTGTTGAACATTCTCTGTTGTGAATCCCACTGAGTGACATGGTTTGTGGCTGAGTAGGATGCTTCAGATTTCACCATGAATGCATCCAACAGTCAAATTTGCCTTGTCCTGAAGTATCATTCAGATGCAAGTTGATTATTCGATTATTCGATCGGTTTGTGCCGAATGCCACAAATGCCCGCAAGGATGCTGCTGATTCAAACTGATTGGTGGCCATTAGCATCATTGAAGACTACCTTGATGAATACTGAAGGGGAGGATTTCATTGACATTAATTTATGATAATTTTTATATGATTTTATCCTTTATTCTATACTTCATGTTCACAGACCAATGAGTCATAAGCAAACAAGTTTGACAGCCCATATGGTACAGGATAATACAGTTCAACAATGCAGAAAATAACCAAGCAACCAGAAATACAAAGTACAAGGAATAAAAAATATACCTTTATAGATAAAAGTCATTAAAAACTATTGATAAAAATTTCGCCACAGCAAGAGCTATGCTTGGGTCAGTATCAGCCAGGAGCTTTGTAACTGCTTCTTGTTTTGAGATGCTTCCCTACTTCTGAGTAAATACTGTGATCCATTTATCTCCAGTGAGTTCATGCTTCTTACAGTCAATAAAGAAGTGCCAAATAGTATCCAGATTCCCTGATTTACAATCCCAAAACCCTTCAGAAAAGGGAGTCCCCAGGAATCCGCCTGTTAATTCACCCAGTGGTTACAGAGTGAGTGATTTAAACTATCACTTATTGAGGGAAAGATTTTTTGAGTTATACAGCGCAGGTAGTATAATTTTATTGGATTGTAGAACAAAGTTTGAGTCCTATGGCATCTTTTAGTCCCACAAAGTTTAATTCTGGGTAAAAGCTCTCATGTTTCAATGTATCTGGTGAAGTGTAGATACACATGAAAGTTTATGGCTAGAATTAGTCTTTGTTGGTCTTAAAGGTGCCACTGGACTCAAAACCTTGTTCTATTGCTACAGACCAACACGGCTACCTACCTGAATCTATTTTTTTATTGGGTTGGGTGAGATTGTGCATGCACAACAGACTTATCATGCTGTACTGCCTGGCTAGGAATAAATACAGTGAAGGAATACAGTGAAGCGGTTCAGCACTGACAAACAGACCGATGAACTATCGGATTGTCAAAAAACCAGGTCCCTGTTTATCACTGGCAAATGGGATGTGAGGCAAACCACTGGGTGTTCAAACATGTCTACTTCTGAGATCAAGGAAGGCCCCCGCCATTGTATCATTCCATGGGTTCTATAAAATGGAATCATTCAAAAGAAACTTTTTTTAAAAAATAAAGGGAATAGGTACAATTGTAGGTACTTTTTATAGCTTTGTCTTTGGAGGAAAGGTTGAAGGAGCTGGGTTTGTGTAGTCTGGAGAGGAAATGACTGAGATGTGTTACCACAGGCATCTTCAAGTATTTGATGGGCTGTCATACAGAGGAGGGAATAGAGTTGATTTCTGTTGCCCCAGAAGGTCAGACCAGAAGCAATGGATTGATCCTTGTGGCCCTTTCTTACTCGCCCAGGGAAATGCTGATCACATCCCACTGGATCCAGCCATACTACTGCTGAACTCAACACAGACCACAGATGACAGAAGTTCATATTTCTGAATTAGTTGCCACTTTGATCGCCACGGCGCGGCTTGTCATCGCTGCCTCATGGAAATCTAAGACAATTCCATCTTTGAACCAGTGGCGGAACAATTGTTGGGATCACTACGTGATGGACAAAATAGCGGACACATGTGAAACACACACACAGAGTCATAGAGGGTCACACTCTAGGTTTGTACGAAAGTGGTACGCTCTGATAGTATACTTTACAGAAACATATTTTTGTTGTTGTTCAGTTGCACAGTCGAGTCCGACTCTTCGCGACCCCATGGACTAGATCCCGCCAGGCCCTCCTGTCTTCCGCCGTCCTCTGAAGTTGGCTCAATTTCATGTTTGTTGCATCGATGACACTGTCCAACCATCTCATCCTTTGCCGTTCCCGTCTTCTTTGACCTTCAATCTTTCCCAGCATCAGGGTCTTCTCCAGTGAGTGCTCCCTTCTCATTTGGTGGCCAAAGTATTTGAGCTTCATTTTCATTATCTGGCCTTCCAGGGAACAGTCAGGGTTGATTTCTTTTAGGATTGACAAAAATACGCATGGTCCAAGCAATGGTATTCCCAGTAGTCATGTATGGCTGCGAGAGTTGGACTATAAGGAAGGCCGAGCGCTGAAGAATAGATTCTATTCAACTATGGTGCTGGAAAAGACTCTTGAGAGTCCCTTGGACAGAAACATATACTGCCAGCAAATCTAAGATACACTGAATGGATGCACTTATAGAGTGATAGTTACTTCTGAGGTCTGAGCACTCTCTTGTACAGCTTTTCAAACTAGGTTTATAGTAATAGGTAACACTTAGGTATTACTAATAGGGTACGTAAAAACTGTATGGATTGGACACACTGTAAATTGAAAATATGAATATCTGTAATGTCACTGTTATACATTGTCTTGTTGGTTCATGCATGTTAATTCTTATGTATTCTTGACTATCACCTAATAAATAAAACTTATTAAATTGTAAAAAAAAAGGAAAGTGCTCCAAGTCATCTTGTCATGTACAGAAAGACGTGGCGATGGCAGGGAGGGATCAGTCATAATTGTTGTGGTTTGCCGAACATTTCAGTTTGCGCTCATATGTAAACATGAATAAAATGGTAGTTTAGAACAACATTTTCTTGACAGTTTGGCACAGTCATTTCCTGATTAGCCAGTGCCCATGGGTTTTGTAGTCTTAAGGCAGAGGTGGCAATTGAGGATCAAACTTTAATTAAATTTAGTCTTGTACCTCTCTTTCACTAGAGGCAGAAGTCAAGATTCACTTATAAGAAGGCACACAAATCCACGGATTATCCTTCTGAAAGTGCTGTGAGAACTCTGCCGCTGGGACCATGCTGGGCCCATATCAGTTCAAGTGGCAGAAAGTTCTGGAAGTTTTGGGGGAACATAATCCCTGTTAATGCTGTTGACATTCAAAGAA